AACCTGTCGGACAATTATCTCTGCTCGCAAGCATTTTTTTCTCACCTCACAAGTGAATATGGATCAGTTTTCTACTTTTAAACTATTTCTGGTATTAGGTCATTATGCCCTGGCTGCTACACTGCCGAACGATCTGAGGACTTTGATTGCGAATATGACCTCATCTTTCGCATGGAAACATCTTGCCTTCTCTCATTATATATCCATCTTTAGTAAACTCTCACGTATATATTGTATTGGGAAAAGCAAAGAGAGCATGAAGAAGGAGAAAGGGAATTGAACTGAAAAATTCGCGAAGAATGGGCATCTTGCAGCAAAAAAACAACAACAGGATGATGGGCTTAGGTATCGTGTTGTGACCACAATCAATTCCAGCTCCGGGCACTTTACTTGCAACGAGAGCTTTTTCCTGCCTGATCTCTCATGCTGCTTGACAATTTGGCCATTGTCAATTCTATGGGTTACTTAGACTCTTCGAGGATAAGAAAACCTTTACAAGTATGATACAGCCTCAAATGCCGGACTGCACCACATTTGATACAGACATTTGCTTTGCAAAGCAGAAGATAGCCGATCAGATAGCCTAACAGATAGCCAAAATGTTGCGTCGCACGCACGTGGGACTTGACGTATGGTAAAAGCTCATCTTATCCAGAGGTACGTGACTCTAAAAGTTCTGGTAAAAGCTCATCTTCTCAAGCAGCGATGCTGTCGATGGAGTCGCATTACGGCAACAACATGGTTTCGTATACTTCATAATTCGTGTTCAAAAGTTTTTCGTACGACTTTAGTGCAATCTGAGATTCCACACGCTCACAAAAATTCAACGTGGCAGCTACATAGCGTGTGTCCCGCAGCGTGTATAGTTTGACTGAGAGCAAAATTTGATCTGATTGTTAGGTTCTGCAATGAAGTTAGTGGAAATCGAGGAGAAATGAAAAAATTGCATCGGATTTTAAATCGATAAACAGCTCTTCGGAAAAAAACTGTGAATGGATGTTGTTCGTTGAATCGTCAAAATACGTTTCTATGGCGCGAACAGATTATCATGGTCCCTGCTATATAATTCTAGTGAGCGAGTACGTGGCTACTGTAATGGTTAACGCTTGGGCTTTCTTTTTAGAGCTTTAACAACCCGATGTCGGTGTGACGAGCTACATTATCGAAGCAATTGAATGCACATGGCTGTAGAGAGCGAGAACGATTGTATCGTATTAAAATAGCTCTGCGTCTATACGGACTTTCGTACCGAGGTCAGATGTCTGTCGCTAGTCATGCGCTTGTGCTTTTTCAACTTTTTACGGACGCGCTTTTGGCGCGGTGAAGGAAAAAAGACGCCCTTCAGATTCTACTCAGTTTCAAAACGAATTCAAAGATCCAATTACTGTGGGAGAGTATGTTTTTCAAAATCCGGCAACCTCAATACGTGTGTCGTCAAAGAAAAGCAATGGTCAGCTTGATGCATCAAACTCTTCCGCTTACGACGTTATCGTTTACCTGATAAACGAGTCCATAGCCAAGATGATAAAGCGGTTACCGTGTAAGAAGCAACATTATGCAAGTGATCATGACGAAGACTTTGAGACTGAAGATTTACTGCTTGGTGCTTTAACAGATCCAATCTTTTTCAAAGGTGATAATGTTTCTATAGCCATCTTTCACACAAGTGTGGATAACAGAACAATATATTACAGTGCACTTTGGACCATACTGTACATAGCAGTCGCATCTAATCAGCATTTGGACATTGGCATCCCATCAAAACGTGCGAAACCAGTAACAAAATGTATTGTTTGGTGGCATAGAAATATTGGTTGTCAGTTGTTCGTTTGAAAATTTTCATCAAATAAAGTAAGAAAGAACTTATTCTCTGTAAAACCTCGTACCACTGTAGCTACTTCGATTATTGACGCTTTTGTGTTGAAAATTAAACCGACAAATGCCTTCACCAAAGAATAAAACCATTTTCACTTTATGGCGATAACATTCGCGTTAACGACGATGCCAGCAGCAACGGGTTACAGACTCAATGCGCACGTAACGTAATAAATCGAGATGAGCACTTTAGCAGCTCCACGTGGTACCCTTCGACTGTTCATAATTGTTTAACCCATGACGTACCGAACATTTCTTTGTGTGGACTATGCTCGGGCCATTGGCCAAATAATTTTGTCTTCTGCCACTAGTCGCATCTCCTCACCTTGAAGGTGCTGTGCTGCATGTTGAGCCAATCAGGCTGATTTAAGAATAAAAAATTAAAGCGCATAGATACTCCAACGGCAAAGCCGTTAAAGTGCGCTTCGCACTCTCAACAGCTGCGATCAAACATTGTTCGTAGTGTTGTCAGACCATCAACCAAGCAGAATACACCGGCTCGTAATTAGCGGCTGTCGTGCAGACGAGGCCAGTAGAGAGCTATCTACCTATTTATTCCGCAACGGCAGGTCCCGACACTTTAAGAATCATGATTCTGGGTTGCTTGCTTACGTGGCGATCCTGTGTAGCCGTTTAGGCTTCGCAGTGCATTGCTATGTGCGTGCTTGTAGTTTTTCACAGCAATTGTCTCCACGTGTGAGTAATTTATAGAACAAAAAGGGCTGTAGAGCACCAAAGTTGTATAGAAGCCTTCACGGTGTGTTATTAAAAAAGGACCGTATGTATCATACAAAACCAGGGGGTCCGTTTTCGGTATAATCAAAAAATAGCACTCAGGACAAGTTCAACCTGGATTGCATAAGAGTATCTTTTGCACCAATCCGCTGCATATTAAGCAATCAGTCCCCGTCTAAATTGCTTACGTCTTCTAGAGATTGATGCCTAATGGTCTATTGGTTTATAAAGGAAAGCCATAAATTCTTTTTGACAATAAACTCCGATCACATCATTTGCAAATTCGCCTTGAAGTACACAGTAGGTTCCTGATAGATCGTTCAATCAGACCGTTGCCAGTTACTATCAATGGAGTTCGCCCGCCGCTTTTCTCAAACGAGTGATTTGCTTCAGTCTACAACATCGAAGGATACTCGGCCATCTCCCTCTCTACATGTAGACACAGACAACAACCGAGGTTCCAAGGCATCTCAAGTGCCTCAACAAAGTTCAAGTCCTGTGTCCAGCCCCGGGCTTGGTCCGCAGTCATTGTCGACTTCCACTAATTATTTGGATGCGCAACGTCGTCGCCGCAGCCACTCGGAGTGTCTACTCCTCGCCAAGACCAATGGTACGCAGGACCTTCCTGGCCCTTGCGCTGAATACATCAGCAACGTTAAGCAGATACTAGCGCGAAAAGACGACCAGCTCGTTCAGCTGAAGCGGCGCCGCAGCATGAACCTTAGTCACCCATCACTATTTAAGTAGTCATATGTCTAAACCTCAGCTTTGGAGGCTGTACGATTTAGGAATATCGGCGTCTACGTTTTAATTAGCAAGGAATTAAGCAGTTGTATTTAAATGAAATCAGTATGATAATGGGCTTGCATTATGTACAATTTACAAAACTCCTATCGTTAGAGTATGGGCACAACCACCTTCGTCTTGTCTTCTCCCACTACACAGATGGGAAATCGGCAGCATTTACATTCATACAACTCGCAAGACTCAGAACCAATTAAGCATTTTCCACGGCATTGTAGACCTCGTACAAATTCGTTGTATGGTTGGACGCCCGTTTCGGATCCTTCAGAGGCTTGACGCTTGAAATTGTCGAAATGGGGATCCTCTTCGTTAAAAAATCCACTTTCTCGAGTAATGGATACCAAGTCAAGTGTAACCCATTGCACCGATATTCGTGAGGTCTCAAGTGGATAGACAAATTGCTTCTCGGCGTTGTCGTGAATAAAGGGTGTTTTCAAAAGAGAAATTTTGTCATCCATAAGTTCGTCGAATGGTTGAAAATATGGAAAATTTATCCTCTTTGAATAGCAAGTCCACGATTGAGTAGCAAGAGCTTCCGAGAGCAAGAATGATTTAATACTCAAGACGTTAGAACCACAGCAACATCGCACCATTGTAGACGTCTCGTTAATCTCAACGCGAGTAGTTGAATATGCCTTGAGTTGCTCAAGAAACGCCAACTTCGGGTATTCATACATGCGAGCACAATCGCGAGAAAAGGAGGTCAGGATGTCAAATGCAGGCATATCTAACGCATTACGAAGGAAAAAGAACAGCATATTGGTCAAAATACTTTGGAGAGCCTTGGTATCCTCTTTGTTCTTCCCCAGTGCGACAAAAACGACACAACCCGCTTCATCTCGAAGACAGCGTTGAAAAATTGGAAAATACTGAGCGTTATTCTGAGGAACCCAATGCAGCTTAGATGTTAGCTGAGGATTCAGCAAGAACCATGTACGGAGTCCATCTTCGTAAACTTCTTCAATGAAACACTGGGAAGCTGTAATTTTACAGAAATCACTCGAGTCGTGGCAGCTTAGGTAGACAAAATGCACGAAATTGTGCTCATATTTTGCTTCAAAGGCGTCCATAGCCAAAATCTCCTGGCAGATAGACATTGACCTGGATCCGATAGAACTTGTTATCGTTTCAGCCGCAATAAAGAAATTCCAGAACAGCCGAACCGGTACGAACTCATCACTTGTCTCGTCGTGTTTTCGACAGGACAAAGAAGTAGGAAAGACTGGAAGCATGGGAGATTCTTGAGCTTTGGAAGCATTTTGTAAGCAGACACTGATGACTGACTCATCATGCGCTGTTGTGGATAACGCATGCAATTCTTTCATCAGCTTGCGAACTTGAGCCATGATCACATTCAGTTTTGGGCGACGAGATGGTTCACGAACCAAAATGTTACTACAGAGCTCCAGCAAATTTTGCACTACTACTTCTTCTTCAGGACACGTTGGGTTGAGCGCTGCAAAAACCTTGTGCTTATGATCCGACCGCAAAACCTCCTGGTCTTGAGTCACAACGAGGTGTGCGTACAAACCTGCCCAGTCATCTACAAGCAAGGGTGAGACAAACACCACGAAAAGCGTGTTTCAAGGCAGTCGCACCATTCTGAAAAAGCAATTCTTGGGTCACCAATTCGTATAATAAGCATCCCATTGACCAAATATCACTGGCTAGCGTTATTTTTACAGCATTTTCGTTTCCTTTGATCTTCAGGACCTCAGGGCTCTTGATAGCTTCAGTTCCTCTTGTTCGAGTCAGCGACACGAAATGCATTGCTTGCTTTTGAGCGGTGTCGGACGATGCGGTACCCGCAGAACAAGATGTATAAGCTGATCTTCGCGCTGGCATCTGATCAGTATCAATAACTTTTGCCTCTCCAAAGTCCGCGAAGCACAATATATCGTGAAGACTATTGCTTGATGTATCAATGACATCAGTATATAGTAACCTGTGACTCAGCTCCCACTCATTAACACGAACAAGAATGTTATCGCTCTAACATGAATACAAAGAAACTGTTTATGACGTTCGAGGAACAAGCAGAGATATTCAAAACGAGCATACCTTAATGTCAAAGTGACACACGCCTGTTTCATGAATGCGAATCAAGCATTGACATATCTCTTCGAATACACGCAAAATAACAAAAATACACAATCGACACGATAAGTTCATATCAAATTTTTTGATGGAAGCTCTCCAACTAGTAAGCGAGCACGGACAGTATTCCATGACGATCTCAAAGCGTCTTTCCTCGTGAAAATTTCCAAAATCAACAAGCTGAGTCACTGCGCGATTACCTCGAAGCTTGTTAAGAATACAGACTTCATTATACACGCTGCTTACAGCGCAAAGGCCACCAGCTCTTCTCTGATGCTCGATAACCTTAACAGCAACATATTCGGGCGGAGAGAACGATATATGTTGTCGATAGACCGCTGAAAATGCACCTTTTGCGATGTATTCCCGTGTCGAATCGCCTCCTTGTAATGAGTAAAATTGACTGTCAAAACGATCAGGACAGAATATTCGTAATAGAAGTCGAATCGCTGCCAGACGAGCAGTTGAGACAGAGGTTGGATTTGTTCCCATTTGTAACAAGACGGCTTCAATAGTTCTCCAGTCTATCTTTGCAATCGCTAAGTGTTGCTGTAGCTTCCACAGTAACTCGTTCGACACGCTCGTGTTCGCATCAGTCTGAAAAGGGACATACATTCGTGGACATACTGCTTCATCAATTTCTAAATTCGGGTTGATGAGAATGTAAGTCAAGACTAGCACAATGGCAAGAGCATAGGGTCCGGGCTCTCGCAAGAGTGTATTCGGATCAGGAACTACTCCATCACAAATACGAATGGATTGACTGTTCGTCGAAGGTAGCGTTGAAGTGTTCAATGGAATATTGAATAAGTCAAAAGAATTGATCGGTGGCAAAGTTAGAGTGGATAAGCTGTTTTTGTCATTGCCAAACAATACACCAATTTCACGCTTGGGTTTAAAATTGTCTGGAGACGCCAATTGTCGCGGCCAAAGACGTAGTAATAGACACGATAATACTCGAGTATGATTGAAAGCTTCTTGAACCTCCGATAAGTGAGACCTTTGACTTGCTAAGATCACTAGACACCGAAAACTTAGTACAACCAGTTGACTAGCTATGTTGAGCTCATCTTGCTTCTCCTTATCGAAAACATGATCACATAATTGCTCAATTTGACGCCAGTGACTGGCAACGCATTGTTTGTAGTCAATAGCGGAGCTCTCATCTTGAGCGATATACAGCGTTTGTAAAAGCAATAGAAATGACTCCATTTGTTGAAAATTCTTCAGCAAGCAACTAGCAGAAGTATCGAGGGATCGAAAGAGGACTGCAATTGGTAGCATGCAAAGATTACCAACCGTGTTTGCTGTATTTGGAAACATCAGCTCGAGAATGAAGTCCCAAAGCATTTGATCGTGCTGCTTGCTGTCGTTTATTGCCATGCGAGGACCCAACAGCTGGATTAGTAGCTCTCCTTTTAAATGTTCGAGCACTTCTGCATCCTCTGTATTACTGCGTTCAACGCGTAATATTCCGTACCGTGTTTCCTGATCCATCTGTCTTGGTAGCGCAATGTCAAGATCAACGAAAGCTCTCAAAAAGTCAAGTACGCGTACTTGAACACTGACGTCATCCTTCACGCAGCCAAATTCTGGTGATGTAGGTGCAAGTAAGAAGCGGAGAAGGAAGATAAAAGGTGGATAATAAAGACCTAGAAGGCGCACAAGTAACGTTTGAGTGTCTAAATCACTCATTCGTCGTAAAACCACATCAAATACCTGACAGATGTCGGATCCAAGACGTATATATTGTCTTTTCATGAACAATGGTATCTCTGTTTGATTCATGACGCCACTCAGATATGTGACAGTCTCGAGTAAATCTTTCAGACAAAATATTATCCATTCATTTAAAAGTGCCTTCGGGATCCACGTTAAAACTACAAGTAGTACTTCCAAGCAATTGCCACCGTTAAAAGCATCGTAAACTTCGCCCTTTTCGATCTTGTCACCATTACTACTAATGTCGGCCAGCAAGCACTCGTTTAATTTTCGAATATTGTCTCGACCTAAATAAACAAATGCCAAGTACTTTTTGTCTCCAATGGCAGAACACATATCAAGTCTTCGCTTGTGTTCCAGACGATATAGAGTCGATACGCATGTAATGGCTATTTGAAAATCACACGCATTAATTTCTTGTATCTTTGGATCTTTAAATTTTTGCTGACGCCATTTGCTCATAATTTCATCAAAAATGTATCGATGAAGGTCTTTAAGACGAATCATAAGGGCAACGTCACGATCCCAAATTGTAAAGGAGCTTCTGTGGTACAACAGTCGTAGTGAAATCTGTAAAACAAGCTTCACCACGATCATATTAAGCGACAGACCTGAGCGTATGCGATCACATAAGAAAGGTTCATTACATGGAAAGACATCACCTGTCAATTTACCACTTTGCTGTAATTCAGTTGAAAACAGAGACGTATTGGTCTCTTCCTTCGACAATCCTGAGAGTGAAAAGTAGCCTTTATGCAGGTGCATGCCAAGATAGGACCGAACGAGCTGAGGGCGTAGTCGAAAGAACGCAAAAGCATTTGCTCCTTGAGTCCTCAATGAATTCGCCCGAAACACTGACAATTTTCTTGATGTTATATGTGGCTTCCGTGACAGGCCAAACCACCTAATTTTTCTGTCTTTATTTCCATACACGGCACTTGAACCTTTAATCGAGAAATCTGGCGCTTTATAGGAGCGGGAGATGGATTGTGCATGAATATTCATATTTGTAGCGTCATTTTCCTCGATGTCATTGTGTCGAACATTTTTCCACAGGAAAGTCATACCTTGATTTCGAAGAAATAATCGCAAAAATGTTGGGAATGACTCAACAAGATCTTGAATAATATCGAACAACGCTGCAGTTACTTGAATTCGAGCGCTCAGAATCTGACAAATTTGATGCACCAAGCGGCAAATTACCGTGTCACCGCTCCGAAAAGTCATATATCGGATATTAAAATGCATGGCATAGGCAAACTGAACCAGCATTTGTCTTTCTTTGCTATTTTCCGTTGTATTTTTCTCAATGTAAGTCGACGAGAAGATCAATAATTCTATCAGGACAGGGATAATACGGCCTGCTAATTTTATTTTCTGTGGCGACCATTGTGTAGGCTTGGAGACTAACATACTTCTTTCTTGGATTGTCGTGTTTACAAAACAAACGTGCATGTCGTGTAACTCAGTCACAAAAGCTTGTAAAAGTGGCTCGTGTGGCATCATCATTCCACAGGCAGCTTCAACTGAATTAAGTACAGTGAGTTCCTGGTCGTTGAAATTCAGATCAATGCAATTTCGAAGCGAAAGTTGATGGGGCAAAATCGTATTCACAATTGTTTCCTTTAGCTGTACTAGATCTGGCGTTAGAAAATTATCACGGATGATGCTAAATCTACAAATGGTCAAACATATGAACATTAACAATAAGTTTGATAATGATGTAAACTAAGTTACGTACGTTGTAAATGGATCATAAGTACGTTTGATCGAGAATGATGTTGTGAGAAATAAAGCCGAATGCTTATGCGCGCCATCTGCAATAACGATAGCAAATTTGGTAAAATCGAACTCGACTTGCCGAACTGCTATGACAGGGAAAGAGCTTCCATTATTTTCAGATACTGAGAAAATATAAAACCCGAAAGCTTCTGGCATCAGTCCAATAGCATATGTCGATGAAGGTATCCATTGAGAAGTCCAGTCTTCCAATTTAATATCCTCGACCAGATGAGGTTCACCGCAAAGTTCAACTACAATAGCTTGCACGTGAGGAAGATAATGTTTCCAGCAATACTCTAAAAGACAATATGTCTCGAAAGCCAGGCACAAAGTGTAAACAGGTGTCACGTCTGAATCATTCTTTCGCGACTTTATTAATCTGGTGTTGTCATTACTTTCCATTATCTCATTTCCATTCACAAGGGTTAATGCACGCACAGCCTGACGAAACTTCATGTAAACTGCAAGTCCCGTGTCCTCCAACTGTACTAAAAGATATGTTCCAGGTGGTTGAGTATGCAGCGAAGCAATTGCAGCGTCACAATTTGGTGCAAGTACAGCCACAAAGCTTCGTTCTCTATGCATTTTAATAGTAGAGAGCACATTCTCATCTTCGTGACTGGTTTTTCTGGTCGGCTTATGATAAAGTGCAGCATTTTGCTCGTCTTCTGTCACTCTCAACGTTATGATGACAGCACCAATGGTTGTTTCCTCTATTTCGAAAATATTTTTTCTTCGTAAAAGATTTACTGATTGATTCGATTCGTATGGCACTGTACAAAGTGCCGCACTCATGACGTAAATCTCACTGCTTTAAGAAGCGTAATAGCTAAAGAGTCGAACAATCAACTGTAGCGGTTTCAATATACAGAAATTCGGTAACTTCATGATACTTGATCACGGAGAATTGGATTATAAGTCTGACACAATGTTAGAAATAGGTTCAAAACTTTTGTAGATAAAATTACGGTGTCATGTAAACGTTTTATGCAGCAGTGCAACTTATTAGGTTCTTTCAGGCATCATACCAATTTTACGAAAATCAGATGGAAGGATTATTATTTACACAACTCAAAATTAAAGATGAAAGACGTTGCGGTGACATGCAACGTGCCTGTGGTCTCATACGAGGATTTGGTGGCCAAGACAGACCTGTCTGCTACCATTGAAGAGGCCTTTGGCTTCAATGGCCTCGGAATTCTTGCTATCAGCGGCGTTCCAGAGCTCAATGTCAAGCGAAGCTGTCTCTTGCCCTTGGCTTTCAAATTTGCAAATCTTTCGAGCATTATTAAATCCAAGTACGAATTGCCTGATGCCTTTTACAGTTTTGGCTGGAGCCATGGCAAGGAAAATTTACAGGGTAAGCCGGACTACGCCAAGGGGTCGTATTATAACAATCCAGAGACCAACGATTTGACCAACGGTAACAAGGAGCTTATTGCCAAATATCCATCGTTCTATCATCCAAACGTCTGGCCAATCGAGCTGCCTCGATTAGAAGACGCTTTTATGACTCTAGGCCAATTGATTGTGGATACAGGGATATTGGTAGCGCACCAGTGCGATAAATTGGTGGAAAGCAGATGCTCAAGTTACGAAAAAGGTAAATTGCATCGCATTATTAGCACAAGCAAATGTTCTAAGGCTCGGTACGTGCATTTTGTCGAAATAGATAAAAAATACTGCTTATTGTATCTCTTAGATTATTGCACTACTTCGCGCTTTCAGACGAGCAGATTGCAACTCAAATGAAAGCGACAACTCTCGAGGAATCTTTTGCCTGGTGTGGATGGCACAATGATCATGGCGCACTTACGGGACTTGTACAAGCAATGTATATGGACCCTAATGGTGTAGAGATACCGAATCCAGACCCTGATGCAGGATTGTACGTGAAAAATCGCCGAGGCGAGATTGTCAAGGCTCACATCCCAGTAGGACATTTAGTGTATCAAATAGGCGAGACGTCACAAATTCTATCAGGTGGTATACTACAAGCCACGCCACATGCTGTACGAGGACCTCAATTCAAAGACGTAAACCGGGAAACAATGGCAGTGTTTATGCAGCCGTTGCCTGAAGAGCGGATGGCTATGCTAAGATGTAGCGATTTGGACGACCCCGAAGACGCCGCAAAGACTGAAAATTTGCCTAACGGTGTACCTTCACTTCTGTCTCGCTGGACAAACAACATGAGTTACAATGACTTTACTCAGGCCACCTTCAAGGCATATTACTGATCAAGGCTAATTACATTATAAAGTTAGTGCTTTCGCAATGAGCATTCCATCACAAGTGCAGTACGCGGCTCCAAGCGACGATAGTAGTCTTCAACTTGGGCTATATTAACAAATCCCAGTGCCTTGTAGAACGCCAATGCCTCGACATTGCCAGCATGAACATGAAGTCGAACACCTTGGACCTCATTTCCATCCATCTGTGTTTCCATGGCTTGCTCAATGACTTTCCACACTAGTTTTCGACCAATTCCTTGACGTCGAAATTGAGCAAGCACCGCCATCGTGCGAAGCTGAACCATCTTGACTCCGTCTCGCTCTACTTCTATGTCTGATATGGCAGCTCCCATCACAACTTCTCCATCCACAGCAGCCCATGAGAGACAGTAATTATCCTTCTCCGCCCGCCGGTAGCAGAAGGTTGGTGGTTGCACAGGTAAAACTCCAAGGTTAAGCTTTTGCACTTTTCGCACAAGTGCCGAGTCGTTCGTTAAGCATCTCAGCTGCATGATTTTTTTGCAATAAACTTATTAGCTACCGGTAAAGTTATAAAATAATGGTAGCCTTTTCTAGCTCTGAAGGTCGTGCAACGCTCTTCTTTCCCAGTGATGGCACGTGGTTCCAAGGTTACTTTATTTGCGCGTCAACTCGAGTGCAACTGGGTTTGATGGGCGAAGAGATCGCTGTCGATGACTGGTATGGATAGAAACTATCAGTTCATCAATTGTGCTCAAGTGTCGTTGTGACAGTATGGCGTGTCCAGATGGAGGATATCAGGAATTTCGACTCACAATCTTGCATTTTGATTTGAAGAAAGAGACTCAAGTGATTGTTGGAAAAACTGGAGGAACTTTGTGCCAACTAACTGGTGATAATGTTCATTTTCGCTCATCTATTTCATTAGTGAGTAGAAAATAAATATGCAAAATGTGTGTATTGTTGCTGACCTTTTCTAACCAGACAGATGACAAGGCAGTTGAAGCTATTGATAAGTACTTTCCGAGTATTGCTGAACGTGTTAATCACAACGTGGTAAGTTTGTATCAAATCTGGTATAACTCAATTGCTAAATTGCGTCTGAAGAGTTTACTGCAAGAATGTACTGTGTGCTTTGGAGACATGGAGATAACAGAGCTGATCTTTCCCTCGTAAACTTATAATCAGCCGCACAAAATCTTATTACCAACCTTTTTTACAAAAAACTGTCGGTCACTTCAGTAAATGAGCAGCTAAATTTATACAATTTTAAAAGTCAGCGAGCCAGTCGATGTCACCTTTATAGATGCTGCCAAGATTCAGGTCTTCATGGCTTCCACTCGACGCAATCTGCTTGAATTCCGATGCAGCATCCAGCTCGAGCGGGGCCTACTCCAAATAGAAAAAATAGTAAACAAATGATTCTGACGTACGTGACTTTAATCCTCAGAACTTACCGAAAACGAGCCCATCTTGGTTGCCTCCCATGAAGTTCCAGCAAAGAATGCGTGATTCTTTATCGGCTCGCAAGCACTTGCACGGCCATCCGAGTAACCAAGCCGCCCAGCTGGATCCGGGTTCATCAAATTGCCAACAATATCTTTCAACTCGGCACTTGCATGAGGAGGCCATGACAATTGATCTGGGTGGAAGGACGCTATGTCGTTAAGTATCTCCAGATCGTTTTCATTTTCTCGGGTGAAAGGGGTTGCACCCGTAAGCATTTCGTACATGAGCACACCAAGTGCCCAGTAATCCGCAGCAATATTGTGGCCTATCAGAAATTAATCCAATAAGCTCGAACTTTCAAAAACCATGATTTAACCTTACCTTCGCCAGTAATCTGCTCCGGAGCAAGGTATTCCGGGGTACCACAGACAGTGTATGTCCGACCACGACCAACATACTTAGATAGTCTGCGGAAAGCAACCACAATAAGCCACTTCGTTCTGCAGATCACGACAATATACCAGGGACTTACCTTAAGTTTATAATGCGAAGGTTTCCACTGCGGTCCACCAATAGATTTGTGGGGTCAAGCATACGCGAAAGAATTCCCTCCTAAATTGTACGGAAATGTGAAAGTGAGTCTCGTACTAAGTGCTTCAAGTACCGCATAACAGCTTACTAAGTGCATGAACTCGAGCGCCATGACAACTTGCGCGGCGTAGTAGCGTACGAATGATTCGCCATGCGGTCCACCGTCTAAAAAGGTTTCAAGAGTGCCCACGATTTGCGTTTCGTATAGCATGTGAATATCCGAGTCAGTTACATTCATTCCCAATAGCTGCGGCACCAGTGCGTTTTTCTCGTAAAGAGAAATATAAATATCACGCTCGCCACTAACGTGCTTTTGCATCCCAGCATCAACAATCGACTGTTTGTTGACCGAGCGGAGAGTAAAGTAAACCGGCGGAGATGAGCCCTTGATTTCAACCAGACGAATTGTGTTGGTTAAGTCTGATATGACACTTCCGACAATTTCCAAATCGTTGATGGATTTAGGCATCTCGGACTTTGATTCGTTGTCAAACTGAACGAATGTGTTTTTCTGCAAATTGATGTATTTTAATCAGTGTAAGGTACAAAATCACAGTGAGCTTCACCATGCCAGTTATTACCGTTGCCTCCTTCTGTGACTCTAAGATCCGCGTCTTACGCGCACGACGCAACTTATCCTTCTCCAATATTGAAGACAATTTGCCTACGGCCAGCTCTAAAACGTCCTTCTTGATAAAAAGGCATTCCGTACGTTCAATGGCACGAACAGAGCGTTGGCTACATAATATCCACGTAACATGTCAGCAAAGTATACAGATCATCACGAGAAGTGCTAGCATTGGGAATACCTGATCGATCGCCTCCGAACAAGTGCTATTTCGCCGAAGTAGTCAAACGTCTTAAGTATCAAAGGTGCCACACTGTCCATTTTGGAGGTCGACTCAATGCGTCCACTTATGATCAAAAAAAAGCCTGGCTCCGTCATTCCTTCGTGAAATACAACTTGATTTGGTTCAAAGACAATGGTACGCATCTCCTCTGCCATCAAATTCGTCTGAGCAACAGTCAAAGGACGCAGCAAGCTGATTTGACGCAGGCGTCGAACAACATCACGTAGCGGTCGCCCACGCATCAGAATAGAGCGGAAAGCAATGCGGTCCAATGCCCAAAGTGTACCGCTTTCTTTTGAAACAATGGTGTTTAAGCGAGGCTTCGGGTAGATTAGCGCCAACTCACCAAAGGTCGGATGAGAGTCGTTAGTTCCCTTGTACACTTGCACCACCTCACCATAATTTGTTTTGCTTTCCGACAAGAGTGTCGAAGCATCGATTTCTGGTGCTGAAGGCTTGCCATACACGTGTCGAGCCTCAAACTCACCTGACTCCACCTGCATTGCGAGGTGCATACTATCAGATCCCGAATAAAAGAAAAACTCAAAACATAAAGCATAGTGTACCAAATAAAATGTGTCACCAGGTACTCCTTGACGCATGACAATATCACCTTCATTGTATTCAAGCTTCTTCAGCACATGCATTACCTCGCAAATCTGCAAATAGAATTAAATTATAAATATGACTTCCATATAGATCAGTGAAGGTGGAGCCATCACCTACCTTTTGATCACTAAGATGATTGAAGAGAAAATTGCCCTGCACTGCCTTCTTGATCCATTCCTTTTCTTCCTCCGACTTGTCCTTCCTATCGATCCCATCATCGAGCTTAAACTCGTCAATATTATCAGAAAAGGCTTCTGCAAGCGATAAACGAATGGCATCTGTTCCGACAATCGTGTTTCTGCGGGCATGGTTCTTTGCAATGCCACGTACAGGTCGTTGCATCGACTGCAAATCCAACACTTCTCCACCGACGTAAATACTGCCTCGAGGACCATCGCGCTCCTTCGCTGGGGTAACGCCATCCAGATAAATGCAAATTGCCGTAATGTCATCAGTACGCACTTCAAATTGAAGCCACCGGCTGTAGGCTTCCTCAACAAGAGCATGACACGCCTCGGAAGGATTTTGATACTGCATCACGATATCTACGACGTTCTGACTCGTAAGAAACTCAAATACGCCGTCACTTGCGACAATTATAAACTTATCGTGCGGATTCAAGCATTTGCACAGAATTTCAGGCTCAGCAGTCACACCGAGTTCTTCCGACACTAAGTCTCCAATACTTCGCGTAAAAGCAGTACCCTACATTTCAATGATTACGATGCAAGATTAGGCGTGGCAGCTGAAAAATCAGGATATCTGTTAGTTCAACTTACGGGATACTGACCGTAGGGATGCCAGATACGAGGCGGGTCTCCGTTCTCATCAATCTCATCTCCAAGAGACAAGCCCCAATTCTCATGAATCGGCTCTAGACCTTCCACTTGATCAACAGTCAAAATGCGGGCTCCACACTTCTTTACACGCACTCTTTCGTCCTATTCCGTAATCATTTTAAGGAATTCGAAAATCAGAAATGAGAATACAAAAATGGTACCTTGCGGAAGGGCGTCTGATCTATAGACAGTGGCTTAGCCACAAGCTTCGCCTCGCCTTCCTGTGTTGAAGCCTTGAGGTTTTCTTGTGCAATAATAGCTCGAGAATCTCCGACATTCGAGACATGAATTTCATTACCATCAAAAAGCACGGAGATGGATGTCGTGCCACTCATTGAATCATCGAAGCTGGCCTCGTGCATAGCGCGATTCGTCTGCACGTGAGCGAGTGTAAGAGCTGGTAAAATGCCAACGTTCTCTTCCAAGTTCTGAATAATGTTTTTTGGTAGTTGCTCGGCTGTAAACTGGGAGCAAATATCACCGTACTGTCCATGGCCGTCAAAGACTGCAAAAAACGCTTTCTGGCTATCTCCAGCAAAATGCGTTTCGCAGTAATAGCTATCCTGATTGGCCTTTTTCCTTGCTACGATAATAACGATAGTCAGACGCCTTCACATTCTTCCTGTCAAAATTTTGTCTTGAAGATGCCTTACCTTCAGGATAATAGCCGCGCTTCGAGTAATAAGAGTAGCGCAAATGGTAGTCTCCAATCTTGATGTGGTGCGTATTCTCCACATGCTGAGAACTTGGTTCATGTATCGGTAAGAATTCGTCCTCAGGCCCTTCTGATAATGGCGACGACAGTGACGGAGACAACGCTGGTTCCACTATTTTAACGTGAAGCTCAGTATCCTCGGTGTCTGTGTGTTTGCGCGGCGACGGGAGCGCGCTGTAAGGCGCCGTACGCACTTCTTCCTTATCGGCAACTGACCGCCGTGCTAATACAGCTGATGCTTCAGAAGAGCAGCAGTTTCCCATGATTTAAAAAGTTGTTTCCTTCCCGTGCCGCTTTCCGCACTGGGTGGAACCAGTTGCCTTTTTGTCTAAAGTGAAAGAGCTGGCTCCACACTGTTAAAACAGTCGCGTTATCGTGGCTTTTTAGGGCGGACGAAACAATGCTGAATATGGCCTTCTTTTAGAAATTAGGTAACTTTTGAATAAGTAATCTACTCTTTTTGGTGTATCAGGAACGTTATATTGGGGCTATCCATGCGGTTAAGTGTACGTGAGCATAAAACATTCACGACCAGCTCACCCTCACCTGCACTTAATTTCAGCAAACACACTTCTTTGTAGGTGGGGCACCCTAAAATTCGAACCAGGACCGTCACATAAACAAAGCATTTTTTTTAAATGTGTGTGTCAAATCTCCAGCTCACAAAAAGATCGAAGACAATGGCACCGCGGGCATGGAGCTGGACGCGCATCGACGGTCGCAACGTGCTCGCTATGCCTACTCAGACGGAAATTCGTTTATACGACAGCGACGACTTTATTTTAATCAATCGTCTGGAACCGACTGGTCATCAGTCACCTGTGGCCTTCGTACGTTGGAGCGCTTTTCACGGCCGCTTGGCCTCGATCTCATGCACCAAAATTATCGTCCACGCACCGCAGAGAGATTTGCAGGTGCGCAGTCGCGTAAACTTCACAGCTATCTGTTGTTACTACTTAAATGAGACGCACGTTTCTATTCGAGGGCTAGCTTTTTCCCGTAACGCAGATGAATTGCTCTATTGTGGACCCCAAGCTGGTGTAGGCAAGTTAGACGTGCGCGGTCTGAGCAATAATGAAGGAAATGCTTTAGTACTGTGGAAAGAGGATGCAGAAGTGTGTGACGTAGCTAAATACTCACCAAGTGCCTTTATCTTCGCCACATTAACGAAACAGCAAGTAAAGGTTTGGAGAATGAGAAGAAAAATAGGGGAACCTGATCAACATCAGACGCTTTACAAAGTCGAACAGTTACGGCATACGGACCCGGTAGTGTATTTCTCGTGGAAACCTTCTTTGTCGCAATGGCATTCGAATCTGGAGACGGATGGGACTCGAAAAGCACAATGGTTTGAACCGCAAAGAATTTTGCTGACTTGCACTGTAACGAGGTCGGTTCGAATTTGGACAGAGATGCGATGCGGATTCGAACCTGTGCTTGTATTTGATACAATGCATCCAATCGACAATGTGCGCTGGGTAATGACAAAGAATAGAAATATTAGTGACGAAGCATTCGGGGAGATTAAGGAAGACCATGACCAAGCGGATTGGATATCGGGAGTCGATCAACATGGCATTTTAAGACTATGGAGGCTTGCCGGGATAGACTCAGCTCATCCCAAAGTAGAGGAGACAATGCTGCAGATCCAGGTGAGTGGAGAAGATGACAAACAAAATTTTGGTGTGGGACTGGGAGAGGCTTGTGTCATGGCATATTTTTCACAAAATCACTTTGGAAGGCCGTCAAAGTTGGAAATTGTACTTCAGCGCGCTGACCACATCATGCTATCGTTTCATGTCGCAGTCGGCCAAGGGGATCGACCATCACAAATCTTGAAGAAATCGTGGCACCGAAGTCATCTTGGCTCCATATCAGCTCTATCGGCGCATCCATCACTGCCATTAATTGCAAGCGTTGATACGTATGCGTCTGAGTTTCCGGGCTTGATGCGGAACGAGATTCTTGTCTATTGGATCTCCTTTTCCGCCTTTTCAGCTGATACGCGATTAATCCCGTCTGGCGTGTTGCCCTGCGAAGACAAAAGAGGTGACGTACTATGTATTCAGTGGGTGCCCACACTTCACTTTGACGCTACACCGCTAATCCTTGTTGCTTATAAGTCGGGGTATATTGATGTGTATGGAAGGTCACCGAGAGCTGACGTTGCGGTGGTGTCATCCCCGAAAATACGGTCGCCTAAACATCTGAGAATATTAACCAGTTCTACAGGGTTATCTTCTTTGCCTCATTACGATTATGTGACAGAAAAACATGGATTTCAATACGAAGTTGCTTGCGAAAAGCGGACAATGGCAGAACTTGGGTTATATTTCGAGGAGAAAAACGGGAGATTTATTGTGTCGAAAACTTGCTCAAGCAATAAGTATCTTAGTGATGTTATTGAGGGTGATGAGCTTATCGCAATCAATAATGATAGCGTTGTAGGCAAAAACTTGATGGAAGTCTACGCCATAATTGGCGAAAAATGTTTTGGAGAATCCCTCCATTTGAGTTTCCGGGCTGCCTGCAAAGATGATTTTAATGGGACAAAAGATCAAAAGCTGGGTGATGAAGAAAGTCATGAGTCGATGATGCCAGCCCTTTGCCGACCAACATCAAGTACAAATAGTAGAGATGACGCCAAATTGGAGCATTCTGGTAAAGAGCACACATCAAACCTTGAACAAGAAAAAGGAAATTTCTGGTTTCCTTGTGGTGTAGATGATGTAATCCACGCAGGAGCGGTATCAATGTATGGAGGTTGGAAACATTTGTTTCATTCAAAAGTTGCACCGAAATTGGCATTACTGTGTGTGTGTCCGTCGTATGCAGACGATGGCGAATATGTGCCTGATTCAGTATTGATATTTGGCATCGAATCACTACCTGGTAAGCTTAGCGTGTGGAAAGGAGTCCGCGGTGGTGCATATCAATCTTTTGAGGTCACCCAAGTTCATATTCAAGGTGTAGCATTCCAAAAAAAAGCTAATATTACTTCACTTGCTTGTGAGAGAGACTACCGGCAGCGAGCATTTACAAGCAAGCGGGCAAGGACTCGAAATATTCTTAATTCCCTTTTATTTGTGGGCGATCTTGCGGGGTACGTGGAACATTGGCGCTGTCAACTTATTGATGACTACATTCAGTTTACGGTGATGAGCTCTTCCCATGTTGGCGATACAGAATCTATGCTGTTTCCAGGCTCATATAACGTTCGTGCGCAAATCGGTTCATTCTGTCGACGCGGATATGTATTGACTGGTCAAGTTGAAAGCTTAACCAGTGAGAATGCAGAATCGGCTATGGCTGGCAGTATTGTTCATATAGAAGTGGATGATCCGAATCGTGTAGTCGTGCTGCGTGCTGATCGACCCGAGGATCTTTATATTTTTGAAGCAGAGTCCGGGCTTGGAATTTTACGCCTTGAAGAATCAATCTCGTCAAATGGACGAGGAAACGTTTTAGGCTTCACGTGGTGTACCTCACACGTTGAATTTAATGTCGATGCGCTTGCAGTGCGATACGAATCTGCCACAGTAATTTACCACTACGATATGGCTTTGCATCGATGGATTCAAATCGGGAATGACGTCATGAGCCCCGCAGCTCTCTTTGACTGTACAAGGGATTCATCTGCCTTGATGTTTGGCGGCGGCCATTTGTACAAGTCGCTTCTGGACCAGCACTCGCCTCAACTAATTTCGAACGAAATGCCGGTAGTAATTGGCAATTGGGATGAACCGGGGAGCCTCCTTCAGCACTCAATGGACTGGAAAGTAGCTGAACTGCCGCAAAAACTTCCTGTGTGGCATCCTTACGTGCTTTTGACGACGATGTTTGGTATGCATGCACGTGTTGGTAAGAAAGACACATCACTTGCTGGTGATCACGCGGCCTTTGAGTTTTCTAGAGCTTTTGGAGATGCAACTCAAATGCTAAAATTACTTGCCAAAGTGCTTAACGATGAATCTTCAGCTCGTGCAAGCGCATCACATGGGATCCTGTCGTATACTGGTCCAGCTTGCTCGATGGAAAAAGGTGTTGGGGACGAAGAATTGGGTCGTGCCCGAATACGTGAGTCAATTGGTCGATATTCGACATCTATCCATCGAAGTGATCAAATTGATAAAGCAGAAAACCTGTTTGCTGCTCAAATGAGCAAAAACGGCCAAAAGAGTTTTAATTATGGTAGAAGGGAATGCTGTTCGGATGAGGATAGTCACCGTACTCTATTATTGAGCGAAGCAGAGACAATTTTGGCTGCTATTGAATCGATGTTACAGAATAAAAAGCATGAATTGCGTCAAAATGCATTAATTTTGTTTGCTTCATTTAGCGAAGAAAACTTGCTGGAAATGAAGATGCTTTTACACTTTGTGGACGCAATTCAGTCGCTTGGTTTTGATCTGGATGCTTCAGCTGCAGATCTTGGAGCGAAACGCTTCATTTCAATGAATTTGCTTGCCAAGTCATTGAAAAGTGTAGTGCTTACACACTCAAATGGCAAGATTGCTAATTATTCGAGTAACCCCCAAAATGGAGAGTGGGATGGCAATGCCGAGAGGCAAAAATTGCACAGCAATCATGAAAATGATTTTCAACTATCAAGTTTGGAAGAAATGCCTTCCTCCGGAATCCTGTGGGCTTTACACTCGGATGCGCAGCGCTTTCTGTGGGAGCATTGCATCCAACCCCAGACGCAATGGGATGAAGTGCGCCCTTTATGGCTTGGAATTTGGATCAAGGACGTAAAGTTTCTGCGAGAAATTGTGGAGTGGTAGGCTATTGCTTGGCATTGCTATCGATCAGTTTTATCTAATATTATAGCTGTCGGGTTTGTTCGTGACATTTTAGGCTTGCAAAACTATCGTATGCTCGTTCTAAAAATGCGATGGATGTTTGTTTGCTATACGTTGCAGTGGGAAAGAAGAATGTGCTCAGTGCATTGGCTAATCTCTCTCAATCCGAATCTAATAAGGTGAAAATGACCCGACTTATCTGTGACGGCTTTGTATTATAACCTTACTGATTACAGCGATGTATATGATTCATTATTCCAGACGCTAGCTTCATTTTTAAAAAACAATTTCTCTGAAAAACGCTGGAGCAATGCTGCAGTTCGAAACGCCTATTCCTTGTTAAGCAAAAAAAGGTACGAAGTCGCAGCAGCATTTTTTTTACTATGTGAGCCACCGCGCATACAAGACGCGGTTCGAGTTCTCGCAGTGCGACTTGGAGATTTAAGTTTGGCACTTGTGATAGCCAGGCTGGTTGAAAATCAATCAACGGATCAAGTGCGGCATGAATTTACGACAAGTCAGGCCAACATTACTTCGGCCGGTTATGTAACAAAGCTGTTGTTGGAACAAGAGGTTCTTCCTTTGTTCCGCCAGAAACGTGACGTATGGCTAGAAAGCTGCGCGCTTTGGTGGCTTGAGGATTTTGAACAAGCCCGAACTGTGCTTCTCCCTCAATTTCAAGAGGTGGATGTATGTGAAGGCAACAGTTGGATTTCTGCGCAAGACGATCTTGTTTCAACTATGACGCGGATGACGCATTTTTTTACAAACCTAACATCTTTTACAGTCTATTTCCAGCATCTGCATTCGAATGTCAATTCCTTGCTGCTAAGCTGGGCCAGAAAGAAAATGCATGAAAAAGTCATTTCAGATGAAGCTGATCTAAGTGACCAGAGCTTTCCTCATACGAGAAGTTTACAGCTCATTTCTATGGCAGATATTGAGCATGCGTTCTCCTTTGTTGCCTATGTTTGCAAGCGAAGTGGGTTAAGCGATACCGCACTCGTCGAGATGCTCCAAGCGCGGCATCTGATTAACCTCCACGCACGTCTTGAAATCTCGATGGGTGACGCGTGTGATTCTATCACAAGTATGGTGGCTGACGATGAGGAGGCACACGTAGCTGAAAGTGTTACCTCGCCTCGCTTTCTGTGTTCAGTACAGAATCGTAGGCAAGGGATGAAACTTGCAAGTTTTACGGCACCTAATACTCGAAAAGGCTCCAAGTCGCAAAGGCGAATGAGTTTTTTATGCGAGCTTAATGTCCCACAAAATGATGCGTTGATGACGAGAAAGAAGGCGCGTCCACGCTCAAACTCCATTTCGTGGTACAAAAAGCTCCAGCCCGATAAGCCAATTCCTACAGCACCGTGGCTGAAAGCTCATATCGCTGATATCGAATGTCGGCGGTGGGCATCATCTGCATTTGTGGGGAAAATGATTGGTATCCGTGTCGCTCGCGAAATGATCAGCTATTTTCGCACTGAGTTGGACATGTGCTTTCGACAGGGTGACAGAGCTAAATCTTTTACATGCGAAGGGAAGGTATCTGCGTCTTGTGAGCTAAATCATCAGTGTTTGATCAAGCTTCATAAGGAATTCTTAAATGAGCTGTGCACTCCACTCTGTGAGCAATTTCAGGTAGATCGCAATTATGTGTATGAAGCTGCACTCGCAGTAATGCACCCGCATGCGTACCTTCATATTGTCGAAGTATGCTTTTTGTTGTCTGAGCTTGGTAGATTGTCTACATTGCGCAAGTGGGTTGAGTACGTGTCACTGTCGGTGCTTCAATCGTGTTCAACATTTGCATCCTGCAGTATTACCGAGGATGTCTATCGTGACTGGGAGGGACTCACAATACAGCTGTGCTATCTCCTAAATCTCGATAGCGAGCGTCAAATATGCCTTCCAGCCCGCGTGGTTGCGCACATCAGCGTCGCTGTTCGAACAGGAATCGTTTTCTTGGGCTGGGCGCGTCAACTGTTTGATGTTGTGTTTCAAGCTATCACGCTGCCATTCTGCACTCAAGAAACCCTTGACGAAGCGCATATTGGTGATTTGGGCCCTCTCTTGAGCACATTTGCTTTCGTAATGAATTTGCGAATGCTTTGCAATTTGTTGCATGGATCTGCTACGAAAAAGGGTGAGATGCGTAAGACACGAATACTCGAAGGAAATCTTGGCTACACTTTCTTAGGCGCCGTTGCCTCAGGACGAGAAAGTGGAGGTAATATTTCGGTTTTGACGTGGGAAGGCACCAAAGATTCTTCAGATCAGAACCAAATTCGAATCCAGAAAATGTATGCTTTAATTTTAATGGTGTCGGTGATTCGTTCTCTGTGTGTGAAAGCAAAAAATTTTTTGAACACATGCCAAGGCGATGTTGAAACTGACGATGCTGGGAGCACTGAGACGGACATCGCAAGCTCTCTCTTTACACCCCAAAAACTGTGGAAAGCACTTGACAAGGACCCTGTAGAAGGACTACAGCGATGGGGAGCTTTAATTGAGTCGCATTTGCGATGCGAGTTCGACTACTCTGTGAAGGAGGTACCGTGTGTTTGTGGTCTTTACGGCCTAGACAGTGCTATTTTCAAGGTAGCCGCTCTTCCAAGTAAGGGCGGAAAGGTTCGCTGCCAAGCATCTAACTATAAATATCAAAAGCAAAGCTTGAATGGCGTCAATGATTCAACTACAAGCTCGGCATCTGCTGCAGTTCCGGCTGAATATAATGATGAAGCCAATGATGACCCGAGAAGCTTGTTGACTTTTCTTCATCATTTCGGTATGAGCATGGAGCTGCACACGGCTTTGATAAATTCAAGTGACGACTATCTGCTGTTGTTAATGCAAAATGCCGACGTGGGAGTGCAAACTACGTTGCGACGCTTTCGTATCGATCCTCGAGTGTATGTTAAGAGCTTTACACTCCGAGATGCACTCAATTGGTTTGCCCGCCATAAGTTTTTTCATAGCAAATCCACTGGAGACGACACGATCGACCAAATGCACAGATTTCTAAATCGCTGTTGCAAGCAACGCAAATTGCGACTTTTGAGAACGCATCGCAGCGAAGACGCGCATATTTTCCCATCTAATTATGACCATGCTAATATTCACGAAGCCCCATTGTTACGAGCGGGTTTGTCTGACGAAAAGGAGAAGAAAAATTTTCCTGATGCTTTCTACTTGCAATCAATGATGTTCGTAAACCCGTGGGAAGTTGAGGCTGAGCGGAATGTGCGTAGGTATATGCACAATGCCCGGTCTCCACTTCTTGTCGAGCTAGGATGGGACCGCTTGAGTCCGATGTGCTCAGAAATTAGCAATGAAATTGTCGCGAATGTGCTTAAAGATCCAGATCTTGTGGCTATGTGGAAAGCCACAGGTGCCGAAAGTTGGCTTGTGACAACCATCTCACAATATCGTATCGACGGTCTCCATTCGTATCGCACAGTTCATCAGCATCTCGGCCTTGGTGGTAGAGTTGAGCCGCAAATTCCATTTTTTGTTGAGATTTACTCGCACAGTCAGCGCAATGCTATGTTTGAATTAGCTGGTCTACCGCATCGATTTATCGGAGTCGTCACTGTGGAGATGGTAGAGGCTAAAGAACTAATTGCGTGCAGTTGGATTGGAAACTGGAGCGATCCGTACGTTTTTTTAGAGTTGTGTCATGCGAATGACAATCACCATCAAACTGCGGTCGAGTGGAGCTTGCAAACCTATCGCAGCTCGGTTGGTGAAGGCGGTGTCAATCCGCGATGGAGTCCTGACGAGAACAAGTTTGTATTTTTCATGGCAATCCCCACTCATGCCAATCACATAAGCAGCTCACCCGAAAACAATCAGTATGCATGCACTGAGAGTTGCATCCGCACAGTGGACACGCAGGCCAGTCGCTTGTCATCACAAATTTGGAATGCCGAAATCAAAGATTTTAATCGCGATGCAGTGGATGCTTTGGAGTGGATGCTTCCATCCGTGTTTGCAGGTCCGCCATCCTTGTTGCAGTGTACTGTATATCAGAAAAACAAATTTTTGAGCCATCAATTCATGGGAAGAGCAAAGGTAAGTAGCGAGTCCATATAACGCGGAGTGACATGTTGAATTAAGTTGTTTCTATCTCTTTTTGCCTTAGATTCGTTTGAATGAACTTACTCCAGGTAGCCCGATAGACTGCTGGCTGCCTCTCGAAGACGTTTCGAGCGGGGCATTGCATTTGAAAATCTCGTTGTCATTCCAGCTCATGTGCTCGTTAAAAAACGGGCACCTTCAATCCAATATGCTGCCATAAAATCTGCAGCAGCACTGACTTACTCAGTCCACAGCTAAGCCAAGATCGAAAATGCGGACGCTTTCTGTGTAGGCGCTTAAAGTCTGTAGAGTTCAAAACTATTTATTCACACTAATCATGTCAAAAACGTGTTTAAGATAGCTCAAAGCACTTTGGAACCACTCTAAAGTTTAAGACCGATTTTTTCAGACATCAAATATGCTTCGGAAACCTCATTTCTTAAAACGCGAAATATGAAGTTTCTATCCAAACAAACACTTAGAACATCAATTGGCTACATGATATGGGACGACCTATTTACTTGGCGGGTTCATGTACCGGACTCCATCTTTTGCGCCTTTGGTGACTATAGCAAAGCCATCAGTGAGCAAATTGAAATCAGTCTTCGAGCTGATGCTTGTATCCCTGTACATCGCCTCGTGGCATGTAGCGGACAGCGTGACCGCAACATCCGTAGAGGTAATGGCTGCCAGATCACCCACACACTTAGGTAGATCGTCTTGTGTTGCACCGAAAAACTCGCGGACGGGTGTACTAAAATTAGTGAATACTCCATTCTGTAGCGATGAGAGCAGCTGGCATGAAATGAAAGCAGAAGGAGCTTCAGTAGTATCTCCCGCAATCTTAGATGTTCGATCGCACGCAGCTAAGTCGTTCACTAATGTATCGATGCCCACAGCATCTTCAAAAGTGCTTTTATCCCTAGCGTACGAGATTGCACCAGTGGCACTTTTATCTTTTTCGCACTGCAGTGAAAACTTCTTTAACACGTTTTGAAGAAATGGACTGATTTCGTACTCAACAGCAAAAGCATCCATACTCTTAAATGTCGTGCCAACGCCATGAAAGTATTTCGAAAGTTTGGCGTGCAAACTAATCGGAACATTCCGCAAATACATCGGAATCTCGACCGTCGGAGAAATCTTAAGATTACCCCTTCCTCTGCATGATCCAGTGAGTGGAATACTCTGGTTACAGCTCTGATAAAACTGATACACCATGTCGATCGTTGCACTATTCGATCACGAATGAACAAACTCGATTAATTATGCGTCGCTATTCAAAAACGATGTCAACTTACTAGTGGCTGAAAAAAATTGGGTCAAAAGTAGCAGCACGAGTCTCGTAGACGCCACCGAGAATGCTGTGCACCGTCATTTGAATCGAGTTTTGAATTTCCTTGCGCAGTGTATCCATCCCGGTGGCATCACTGGCATGGCGAATCAAATCGGCAAACGTACTTGGACCAACCTCCAACGACGAGTCCCCTACATTCCACTCTCCACGTGGGATACACCTCTCGCACTTTGTACTGATCGTACAAGCATGTGCGGCCACGCTGGTATTTGCACAATTCCCACTCGGAATGATTTCACCGTTCAAGACATAGTCACCGGGATTAAGCTCAGGTCCTTCGCAGCCTCCCAAGTCTGCCAATATCGGCGAGCATCCTTCAATTCCATTGCATACCGTCGTTGTCGATATGCGCTTGGCAGAGTCCTCGAACAAGTCCCAGTATGGCAGCGTCAGGTCGCTAAATGTCGAGTCTAGCGAGCGTAGCATGTTCTCGTAGCCGAGTAGATACTTACGATACCACGCTGGTGCGCCACATGTACCGACAACCTGGTCTAGACTTCTAGAATCCATATACATTTGCGTGAATAGCATGTGGTTTCCCGATGTCATCGCTTTCTTTATAGCGCTCAAATACTGCTCTACAGAACGCCACCAGACGTTTGTTTAGTTGAATATTTATCCACACAAATCTGCAGCACACACACCTTTTTCATCGCTGCTGTAGGTAGTCCAGCTCTTGCGTATGCGCGTGGCCGTTTGCACAACCGTGGCTCCTACTAGCAAGGCAAGAACAGCCAGCCGGACGCGCATGAATGCCTTGATTATTCTGACTCTTTGACTGACATGCTGTGCCGAATTATTGGTACACTTGTGTATGTCACAAACTAGAGTGCTTCCGTTTCCATACAAAAAGAGTGGTGCCAGTTGAACGGAAAACATGACGACAACGTTTGACAATCGCGCAGCGCTGGAGAAGGCGATTGAATCGTGTTCAAACTCTGTGCGTGCACTGCGAGAAAAGATGCACGATGAGGAAGAGGCTGTAGAAATGGAAGATGTGGCCAAAGAAGTGCAGCGGCTCATGGGTTTGCGCAAAGAGCTTCAGCGCTGGATACAGACTAAGTCGGAAGACCAAAAGACCAACCAACACGAGGAGGAGACACCGGAAACAGGAAATGATAGCGCAGAGCCGATGGTTGTCGGCAGCAAACTGGAGCAGCGTGCTGTTAAGCTCGAAAGCCACGTCGCTAAAGCAAATGAAAAGCTATTGATTCTGGAGACGAAAGTAGCGCAGATTGAGCGAACAAAAAATGCTTTGACGTATCTAAATCAGGTTAGGACAAGTGCAGAAGAGAAAGTGGAGACTTTGGTAGATCAGACGACGGAAATTGGTGTGATAAAGAGTCTGAAAAAGAAGAAGAAGAACAAGAAAGTCATGGAAGCAAAGAAGGTAGCGACTAATCATTTGGGAATGACAGACGATACGGATCAAGTGGCCAACCTGACGATACAGCTCGAGGCTGAGCGTATGAAGGTGCTAGAGGTCACTCAGACAGCAAAGAAACTTCAAAAATCTGTCGATGCGCTGACGGAGGAGAAGAGAAAAATCGTTGCGAAGCTCACGGCTGAGTCAAAGGCGGGTATTACTAAGTCAGAGCAGGCCAGCGATATAAAACACTCTGATGACGAGTTAGAAGATGGGCTGCTCAATGTACAGGACAAGCTGGACCAAACAATTACCACAATTGTGCAGGAGAAGACGGGAGTGGTAGCTAATTTGACGGGTGAGCTGAAAAAGGAGCACTCTGAGCCTGAACAGGCAAACCAGTTAGACCAGAAAGTGTACTCTGATCCAGAACTGTCTGTTATGTCGCTCGTTAAAGAGAAGGTTGAGCTACAAAATAGTCTCCAGGCTGCTGAAAATATCACAAACGCCGTTCGTGACGAGCTAAGTAGGCTGAAAAAGGAGCTTTCGGAGATTAAAGACAAAAAGGAGACTAGGGAGACTCATTTGGGCAAGCTGTGGAAGAACATTGAAGAGCTTCAGCTTGAAAACAAGATGCTCAAAGAGAAAAATTTATCGATCAAAGCTAAAGTTCAAAAAGTGCGTGCGGAAGCAGAAAGATATATTGCTGAGATCTCGTCGTACGATCACAAAACCGAAATGCTAAACGCTGAAATTGAGAGTGCCAAAATCGAGCTTGACAAGTCGAAAAAGGAGGCTGAAATTCTGCAGCATGAATCAGAGAAATTGCAGAACGAGGTAAGTGTATCCAAATCAATAGCGGCAAACTCAGAGGAGCGTATACGGACGCTTGAGAAGGATCTGGAAGTTTCTACAGCGATGGCTTCGAAGAATGTTACCGAGCTCGAAAACCTGCGCAAGTTGAACAAAGAGGCAGAGGCAACTAAAGCTTCCTTTGCTGAACGGATTCAGGCCTTAGAAAATGAGATAAAACGTTTGAAGCAGAGCGAACTGGAGGTGGCTGCCGAGTGCGATGTACTTCGCCAGTCAACTAAGGATTCGGAACGTGTACACAAAAACGATATCGAGAAGCTTATGTCTCAGCTAGTTCAGCTGCAATCTGTTGCAGAAGGAAAGGATGGTAAATTTGAGGCTGAGTTATCACAGGCACAAGAAATTGCCAAGGTTGCTGTTGCCGAAAAGGAGTTACTTACCAGTCAGCTGCTTGAGATGAAAGACAACATGGTTCAGCTAAAGCTGAAACACAAAAAAGAATTGGGTCAGGTTTCCGATAACGGCTTGCAGCTTAAAAGGCTTGCAATGGACTTGGAGGCCCGTACGGCCGAAGTGAAGAAAGAAAAGGCTTTGAACGATGACTTACAAAGCCAGCGTTCAATCGCTGCCGACCAGCTTCAGGACTTACGTGGAGTCGCTGCGACGAATGAGGAATTGCTCAAAAAGGCCCGTGCATCCTTACTTGAATCAAACGAGGAACTTAAGGAAGCTCGCGCAAACGCATTAAAGTGGAAGAACTCCGCACAAGCGGCCAAAACACTTATGAACGCCAAAATTGCCGACTTTGAAAGTGCTAATAAACAGCTCAAAAAAGCCCGTGCGGATGCATCTTCGGCCAGTACGGCTCGTTCGCAACTCTCACTAAGCCTACAAGCCAAAGAGAAGAAGCTGGCGAAGACGAAACAAGAGCTTGTTGCTGTTCGTAAAGAGCTCGCCGAGATTTTAGCTGCAATGGATGCTGAACGCACGCAGTCAAAACAAGAGCACATGGTGCATGTTTTGAAGCTTCGTGAGCGTTCTGACAATGAATTAGCGCAACTAAGCAGTCAAGTACATTCGCATCGCGTAATGCTTGCAGTTCTCCTTCCAGTTCTCGTAGCTGTGTCTGTCTACGCCTTCTCGCATTAAATAAATATGTGACAGCTGGAAAGACGCAGTCTTGAAATTATTATCGATACATTTTTGATACTAATGTGTAGATACGACTAGCATAAACTGCAGTTTTACCGGTTTAGCGTTTCCTTAACAGAAAGGACAATACCCGCCGGGTTTTTTACATAGCACACCTGAAATTCTACCAATCGTTGAAGTCAAAAGCACTATTCCGCATCCACGCGGCACAGTGCAAGATGAAGTCGAAGGAGGGCGAGGCTGTCGCGGTAGCGCGCGATGTCAGTGGCGACGTCACGCTGTCCGGTGCGTTTTCCTATCTACGTTGTCGTTCGTTTCGTTTGATGTTGATGTGCAGAACGCCTCAATTTTCTTCTACTGGCTCACACAAAGCGCTCTAATTGTTGTGTGATTGTGTTCCATCAGGCCCAGGCTCAGCTGCGGAAGGCCATGAGGTGGCCGACCACCAGCTCTTCGCAAATACTGATGAAGCCGCCGTGGATCCGACTGGACCAGCTATGAAGAAGCAACTGGAACAAAGTGTCGTGTTGCACAAGGATGAAGAAGCTATGTCTAATGTAGATACTATCCGAACAGAGCTTCAATTCGGACAGTCAGACACATTGACGATCAGAGAGCTCAATGCCGAATTGCAAATGACGGCAGATAAGGCAACACAGGAGGAAATGAGAGTTTTGGTCTTGCAGGAAGAAAACCACCGTCTCATGAACCAGATTGCGGCTGTTTTGGAGGATAAACAACAGTGGGAACGGCTTACACAACAACTCACAGATGACAATCACGCGCAACGTCTTAAATTAAAGGAATTAACACAGGAGCTTCATAGTGCCAAACAGGAGCGTGAGGACATCGAGCAGATGTATCTGGAAGTGTCTTCCAATTTTGAGCAGGCGTTACGAAGCAATAATGAACTTGAGAAGGAGCGAAGCGTAGCTTTGTCTAAGATTGACTCGGAAAGACGACTCAAAATGTTTGAAAAAACTACCAGGCAAGAAATGTTGCAGCTCAATCAGCAGATTCAGTCACTCATTGCGTCCAATGACAGGACTACAGCAGATCTTGCCGAAACTACGGCGATTCGGGAAAAAGTGCTTGAAAAATTTGGTGTTGACCTTACGTACGAGAATATCGAGTCACTTCTTGACGTGAAAAACAAGGAAATTCAGATGCTCATAGAGCAGCAGTCGGCTATGGAAATTTCCCATGAACAAGCCATTCGTGAGACCGTCAACGTTACCGTTGCTGAAGTTGAGCGGCACCAGCTTAGTTTCGAGACGATTCCATTGCAGTACGATACTTTGGTAACCGAAAACAACGAGCAAAATTACGCAGTGAAGGATTTGTATCTGAAGTTGGAACACTTTGCCAACGAGCACGCAATCTTGCAGGAAATGCATCAGCGAATGTGCAAAGAAAAGGATGAGCAGATTGAGCAGCTAATTGGACAGCTTGATGCTGCTCAGACTCAGACACAGCAGTTTGATAAAGACTTTCTTACGATCAAAATTAAAATTGAAGGGTTGAATGAAGCGCTACAGATAGGAAACCCGCCATATACCGAGTTCAATACTAAGCTTACAATACTAGACGAGCTTGAGGCGCATCTAGACCACATCGAAAAACAGCTCGTAGGCTCCACAAAATCACTTCTGATTCATCCTCAAAGTGAATCAAAGACTCTCCAAGTACGTATCAAAAAGTGCGAGGAAGAAAAACAGCAGCTGATCGTAAAACTTGAAGAGTGTGAAGCTGCTTTAAAGGCTCGTGCAAGCGAATTTGACTTGCTCATAGCGCGGGGGCGAGCTGATAGTCCTGGTGATGACAAGTGTACATTTTTGCACGACAAAAATGCATCCGTTGAAACTTCAGATAGCTCTACTGGAACCTTGTGCAGTTTTGAGCGAGATTTGGAAGTCATGAAGGCTCAGCTGCATTCATGTCACGCACAGATGACTGCATATAAAGCTGAAAACATTCGAATGATTTTTGAAATGGCAAAAACAGCTGATAACGCCTCGAAGTTTAAGCAAAATTATGAGGATTTACAAAAGACGCTCGCAATGAAATCCTTGAAGCTAGATTCGACGTTGGAGCAACTGAAGGTTTTAAAATCTGCAAATAAGACGCTAGAGTCAGATGTTTTAAGGATATACGAGGAGATGCGTTGCGGCTCCGAAGCGTTTGCAATGCAAAGTGAGGAATTCGAGTCCGTGACTGCTAGATTGAGTCTTGCTTTAACAAAAACTGAAAAGAAAAGCCAAAAGCTAAAACGCGACTTAGAGGATATGAAGACTGAAAATAACGTTTTGGAGGAGCGAATTGCTGAACTAGTCGTGGTAGACTCTAACTTTGAAGGAGATGACGAACAAAAAATGGACCATGAGGTTCAAAAACTGCGTTCGTCACTAGTTCAAGCTAAAGTCAGGTATTTGGAACAAAAGTCGCAGCTTACTGCTCTAGAAAAGAAATTGGTGCAGGTCTCGAGGCCAAGTGGTCCTGCGCTTACAACTAGTAGTGTTTCATTGGATGCAGAGCGACGGGAATTCGAAGCAGCCTTGATCGAGATGATTGAGATGGAGAAAAAACTTCAGTTAGCTTACGAGGCAAAGCAAGGCCTGGAGTTGACACTTCAGGAGCGGATGGAGGCAAAGAAAGATCTAGAAGGTCGGCTTTTAATTGCAGAAGACAAGATAGTCGAGTTGGAGCAACAGCTAGAGCAGAAATCTGCTTTTATCGCTACAATTAAAGAGCAGCTGCAAAAGGTGGAAAATGAGCGTGAAAAATTGATAGAAGACTTTGCCAGGACTAATTCGAAGCTGGAACGCAGTAACGGCAGGCTAGAGGAGAAAGTGATCGAATTTGAGACATTAAAAACAACGACTGCTATGCTGAAGGATGAGCGCAGTCGTCTCTTCAGTGAGATCGCACTGCTGAAAGAAAATATTTTCAAATTTGAAGCACACAAAGTGGAAATAAGAGACTCTCAAGAGCTTGAGAATGAAGAGCTGGTGGAGCAGCTAAACGAGCTTGCTGATAAAATTGCTGAGATTGAGTCAGAAAAGCAGGAACTTTGTGCTAGACTTGAACAAACAGTTCAGCGATCTGAAGAAGATATTCACCAATTAAGAGAACGGCTGTACATGCTTGAGGAGGAAAAATCAGGACTTGACGAAGAAAATTACCAACTTGAGAGGACTGTTGATCAGTTAGGATCTGAATTGATTTTGCTCAAAGAGCAGAAGGTGGGCCTTGAAGTAGCAAACACGTTGATCTCTCAGCAGTTAAATCTTTTGGAGCAACATATGGAGAATGCAACAGGTGACATCGCCAGTTTATCAGCCGAAAAGAGAAAATTTATTGAGCTACAACAATCACTTGAGGCGCGAGTGTCTGCTTTTGAGGCTGAAAAGATTGAGCGTGAGCACGATTTCGATATAACGACGGCCAGATTGCACGAGGAATTGGCTCAGGCCTCGAATAACGTCAAAGCTCTGCAGTTTCAGCTTGTTCAAAGTGTTGCAGAGAATGAAAAGATCACGGCGTCCCTTTTGGAATATCAAAGAAATGCTCAGGACGACAAATTGGCGAGTAAAAATATCGCCATGAAACTGGAAAAGCAAGTAGCAGAGAACCACGATCTAAAGAAAAAAGTTGTAGCATTAAAACAAATGGCAGAAAAGGCATTGCATTCGCTACAAGCTAAATGTGAGGAGCTATCTGAAGCGGAATCCCGTGTTGCTGTGCTGATTGAAGATTGTGATGTGACCAAACTATCGCTGTCGGAAAAGCAGTCGGCGTATGATAAGCTTGCTCTTCACTGTGAAATTTCCATGCAACAGATTGACAAGCTATCCGGTGAACTAAGTGATTGGCAGACGAGGTATACTGAAGAAGCTCGCGTAGCTGAGGAGGTTATTTGCGCTTTGAAGAAAAACGAAAGCACATTAGAGGGGTCGCTGGCATCTGTTCAACAAGACTTGGCAAAAGCAGTGGAAGAACGAGATGCGGCATTGAAGGATGTCACCGCGAAGGATCTAAAAATCGAGATTTTGAAGTCTCAGCAAAGCGAACTCGAACGTGCGACTCATAGGCTTGATAGTGAGTCAAAAAGGCTACAGTCGAAGATTGTCTTTGATGCAAAAGCCACGGACGATATGATTTGTCGGTTTGAAAAATCAAACTTGGAAGCAGACCAAACTATCCGCAACCTGTCGGATTTATACGAACAAGCCCAAGTGTCCTATCAGGCAATTCAAGATCAGCTAGTCGACTCAGAAACGCGATTTTCTGTTCTTAAAGAGGAACGTGATACCTTAAGAACGTATCTGGATGAGAAGGAGTCAAATCACGACATGCTCAGTGCCCAAAAGATAGATTTGCAAAAGAAAATTAGTGTTTTAAAAACGGAACTGGAAAACGTTCGCAAAACGAGTTTAACCGAGCTGAATGCTGCGAAAGAGACCATTGCAAGCCTAAAAGCTGCCCAAGCTGAAGAAGCAAGGTTTACTGCGTCAGTTCAAGAGGAATTATCACAGGCTGAAGGATGTGTAATAGTTCTTGTTGAGGAGCGAGATGCTGCGAAAAAGTTACTAAGCAAAAGAGAATTCGCCCTAGAAGTTCTCAGCTCTGAGCATGGCGAGCTACAATTGAAGCATCAATCGGTTACCACTGAACTGGAAACTTTGAAACGCAAAATTGCAGCGGATGCCAAAGTTGTAGAGGCGACGGTCAATAAGTCGAAAAAAGAAGTGACAGAGGCAACAAATTCCTTAAAAGCAGTGCAAGCCGAGCTAATAAAAGCCGAGTCCCGAGTGATTTCCCTAGCTGCAGAATGCGAAACAGTAGGAAAAGCGTTTGACGAGCTGGAGACAAAGCACGAGTCACTGAGCTCTGTTAATGAAAACCTGACTGTGCAGCTTGAGAGCTTACAAGTTTCTATGGGGAATTTGCGCAGACAACATTTGGTTGAGCTTGAGGCCGCACAAGAGAAGATCCGTGACATGGAAATGGTGGATGCAACGAAGACCAAAACGCACGAATTAGCTCGTCTACAGCTATTAGACGAGAATTCGCGGGTCGTCTTCTTGACTGCAGAACTTAGCGACAAGGAAACTACTGCAAAAATGCTAAAGCTTCAAGTTGAAGAGCTGCATATGCGCATCCAGTCACTAGAGAGTGAGTTGGAGGAGCTGCAACACCAGCGTGAAGCGGAGACTGAGGCGGCAGAGAAGACCATTTGCAGCTTAAAGGCTTCAGAATCACAGTCCAGTGAGGAACTCGAGTCAATACGTCAGGAGGTTGCTGAGCTGGAGGCGCGTCTTGTGTCTACAGAGAAGGAGCGTGAGATTGTCAGCATGACTTTGAGCGAAATGGAGTCTCAGTGCAATGCTCAAAGCACAGAAATGTTATCCATGCAGACACGTATCCAGTCACTTGAGAGTGAGTTAGAGGAGCTGCTACACCAGCGTGAAGCGGAGACTGAGACGGCAGAAAAGACTATTTGCAGCTTGAAAGCTTTGGAATCACAGTCCAGTGAGGCACTCGAGGCAATACGTCAGGAGTTTGCTGAGCTGGAGGCGCGTCTTGTGACTACAGAGAAGGAGCGTGAGACCGTCAGCATGACCTTAAGCGAGACCGAGTCGCACTGCAACGCTCAAGGAATAGAAATGT